TGCTGAATTCTTGGCCTCAACTATATCTTGGACCAATGTGGCATACCAATTTAATTATGCACTATGTAAAAAGTATTTTCATAGATCAGTTTTGAGTTTGCAGTCTCCTGGTTTTATTTTTACCATACTTCAGCGTTATTAGCTGTAATACAACCTTGTTGTAATGAACCCAATGGGACTGAGAGAAAAGTTCATTAAAAGAGGATGTTCACTATAAATAAGGTTAGTCAATTTGCTGCAACATAACAAACATGAAAAAATTGGCACCTGCTGTTGGGACTGTTGGAAGCAGGAGGTTGTTATAAACAGCCCATACTGTTTGTCCTGTCTAGTAGGCTCATTATAATGGATTTCACAGGCATTCTTATCTGGTTTGCACTACCAAAAGGATTCAACATCCCAGTCTGCCAGCAGCAAATATTTCTCTCCCCCATGTTTTCACAAGGTGTGTATTTCTATCTGCATCCTTGCTGGAAACCTGAGATCCCCTGTGTAATGTTTTAGTCCAGAGCTGTCCAGCTTCTAAGTAGCTGGGAGCCAAATGCCCCACGGGCTGCACCAGCAGAGGTGGTATGCCCATGGGTCACACCAGGGCAAGCCCTCCCCACACTGCATTGCATGGGAGCCTCCCCTGCCCGTTACACTGTGTACCCATACCATCCCTATGGCACTATGCACCCTCACAGGCCCTCCCGCTCCACCCCTAGCCCCCTGCCATACCATGTGCACAGCCCCATGCTCATCCTCACTTTGGACCATGCCACTCTGCAGTGCTCTGTCTGGCAAAAGTCAGGGGGCATGGGGGAACCCAGAAACTCTGACTTCTGCTGCAGACAGAGCAATGGGGGAGCAGTGGCAGGAGATGAGGGCTTCAACTGAACCTCTTGTGGACCACATGCAATCCACAGGCTGCCAGTTGTACAGTTCTGCTTTAACTAACCCTCACAGCACCATGTCGTAGTGACCAGCCTTCTAACAAAGGCATGATGAACAAGAAGCCCTTTGGTATTGGTGTGTATTAAGTTAAAGGGGTTACGCATGTCCATGCAAATCATTGCCCTACTCCCCACAACTGAGCTTGCTACCTCAGCGGTTCTTCCGCCACCCGCTGATTCAGGGATTAAGAGATCAGGCGCCAAGCTCCAGTGTGCGAGCAGCAGTGCAGAGCACAACCATAGGCTTACCTGGGACTGTGTTAACTGTAAATTATCTCAAGGAAATGTACTGTACCTCACATTTGGCCACAGCCCAGCTATACCAGGGCAAAGGATGTTTTTGGCTACATCAGTCTGTCACAGATGGCTTAAAGAATCAGAAGAAACTCAGCTGTCCACCCATTTATTTCATGGCTGTGATTGTGTACACCCATTAAAGCTCTTTTTTAGAATGCGTTGTCAGCCAGGTGACTGTGCAAACATGGAGAGTGCCAGGACTCAACAGCAAGCTTGGGGCTTGAGATCAGCTTCTAGGATACAGCAGACACATTTCTCATGCAGCAGCCTACTAAGAGATGGTTCATGGAAGAGGATAATTCCTGACCTTTGGAAGAAGCTCAAAAGTGCCTTCCTTTCATGCCATGGAAAAGCACTGTGGTACTGATCAAATGGAAGGCCTGGGGAGGGTCTATCTGGAAGAAAAGCACCATTCTACATATCTGGCAATGGGTGCTTCAGAGCCAGTCTGCTCAGTCATTGGGACTGATTTTAATTAGTACTAATGCCTCATCACACCACTCTAATGATAAACGTGTGTACATTATAGCTACACCCACTTTAAGGTACTCTGTAGGTCCAGAATTGTGTAAAGGAGCTTTATAATAGCTGAGGCTCAGGCCTGTTGGCCCCAGTAACAGAAACCTGAGTGGCTTAGGTCAGAAGAAAGACCCCACGCAGGATTGTCCTGTGTTTCTGGGTTTGCTGTGCTGCAAAATGTGCTGTCATAGACAGAGAGCAGGCATAGCCAGGACACTAAAAATGCACTGAATCAGAGAAGTCTCCTATGACATTTGGCTGGCAATTAGAGTCAGCCCTTCCCTGGGGAAAATCCCCCCCATGGAGCTGCTGTCTCTGACAGCATGTAAGACATGGACAAGGGATGAGAGTTTATCCGACTTTCTCTGGAGAAGTCCAAATCATTTCATAATTCAAAGGAAAAGCTTTGCCCAGGAATAGCTTCTAACTTTTACCCCAGGGGAAGCACACAGCAGATGCCTGCATCTGCCAGCAAGGGCACAGTAAGGTGATAGGATTTTTATGTCCACAAATATTTCTTAGATCACCTTTGGTGTATTTGGTTCAAGCACCGGGTCCAGTGGGAGACAGTGAGCCACATGCTCTTCATTCAACAGGGTCTGCTCCCTCTCTTGTCCCCAGGCCTTGCCGTATAATCAGTTGAGAAAGTCTCGTACAGAGCAAACCACAATTATTCCTGTAAAGTAGCAGGGGAGCAATTTCTCCTTTTCAGCATTCTACAATATTAGACTCTGGGAAACCTGCCACGGCTTAATAAAGCCAGTCTGCCTTCAAAAGCTGCACTGTATTTAATGTTATGTTAGCATAAATGAGCAACATAGCTAATAAAATATAATGTGGTTTTCTGACCTGAAAGTTACAGCTAGCTGAATATTAACAGGCACATAATCCCTCCAGTTGCATGCATTACTATTGTGAAATTGTTGGATTACTGGCTCACTCCCTGCATCAGGAGGGTGGGAGAATGCCTTGGAACAGTTATGATCTGGGACCTGGCTTGCAACTGCAGATGTGAGCTACAAAAGACAAAGCCTGGGCTCCTCGTCAAATGAAACACACTGTATATCTAGAATAAGTGTCAGCACGCACCCCACTCAGAGTATCTTCAAGGGCACATTTATTTGAAGCGGTTTGTTTTCAACATTCTTCCTTGAGCAATTTAAGTTAATCAGCTACAATTCCCACAGGGGCTGGCTGCACCGAATTACTGAAACAGGAACATGATGCATATGTTTATATATAAGTTATTAAAAAACCTAATATTGTATGGAAAATACAGAGTTATATTATTATTTTCTGAACTATATCACCTTCCTTTTTGCTGGCTGGTGCCACGTGACTATGTTTGCATTCGTCCCTCTGCTGATTACTCTCGTACAGCAAATTGGCTTCCCATTTCAGGCCTGTGCATTGTTTAATCTTTGCTGAGGTCGCTAGGCAGGAACAATTCAGAGGGATTTAAATCGTGAAGAGACTTATGCACTAAAAATTGAACTGCAAACACTACATTAATTTCACTGCTGTCACATAATGGCGTTTGATCATTGCCAACGTACCTAGATTTGAACTGGAAAGAAGAAGGAGAAAGATTCCTACTACTCAGCCTGCATTTGTGCAGGGGGTTCAGTTAGAAAGCCCATGAAGTCCCTGCCATCCCTTTGATCCCATACCCTAAAATACTGGCTTTGTGTATGAATGAGTTGGTGGTGATGCCCGTCCTTGCTGGTAAACAGAAGTTAAGCAACTAACAAGGAGGAACTCAAAGAGCTCTCCTTTAGCTCCGGTGATAGAGATCTATGTTGATGGAGCGAAAGAACAAGGGGGTAATTTGTGTGATGTGTATAGATCTGTGTCTGTTTCTACAATGCATAGGTTTATTACATGATCCCCTCTACCAATCATCCAGTCTATCTAGTCACCCCACACTCCATTCACCTTGAATTATAGCAGGGAGGGAGCACTTGGGGATTTGCAAGAAGGCAAGTGAAAATTAAAACCCTGATATGTTTGTTTGCAGGTATAATGTTGGGCAGAATGGGTAACAGTGGCATTCCCTTGGTCAGTTTTTGTCAGTGTTTAAATGAATCTGTCATGAAGATAGTGGCAGTTGCTGTTTGGTAAGTAACTCCTGCGTCAAGAAAGAAATCACTTTAAAAAAAATGGAAGCATAGTTCAACAGAAAAGATGCCTTGAGATGATGTAATCTTGTTTTCAAGAAAACTAAAGAGCAACAACAACTTTTCACTATGTGTGACATTGGCACCTGAAGTTATACAAATGCTGTAGGTCAGATACCGGCCCCTGGCTCTGTCACCCGCGTACTGCTTGAGGGACGCAAGGGGACAGAGAGATGCCTCAGTAGGAAACCATAGGTTCCTTTAACATAGTGGAAGGAATGAGAGGCATCAAGCACTATCGCTGAGCGATCCAGAAAAAGGATCAGGGTGTGTGGGCAGGGCGAGGCGGGGACAGAAGTCAAAGTACATGGCTTTCTGGATATTCCCAACTAGCAGCATAGTCCCTGTATGAACACTTCAGCCCACATATCTTAGAACAACCTTCAGAGCAGCCCTAAGTTGCATGGGGGGGATTTGACCTGAACTTGGCTAAAGATGACATAGGTCAAATAAAACATTAGCTCGATAGGATGCTTGTCATCTCAGCAGAGCGAGTCATGTGTGCAACGTCATGTTTGCTTCCTATTTAAAGAAACCCTCCATTATTGCAAAGTAGCTCTTCCCCTCTCCAAAACAGTGCAAGTCTCCTACCAGCATTGTTATATCAGTGCACTGAGACTGTGGGCGTACGTTTGACAAGATAGCTTTACTGATATTAAGTCCCCCATCCCTCTCTGCACCAGTGAGCAGTCTGGTAACTTTTCTGCCCAGGGCAACTAGAAGGTCCCCAGGCTTTTAAATGATTTGACCGTGCTTTACAGCCACAACTGTGGGGTTACCAGCTACCAAACATGCAAAAGAACTTCACTCCTCCACAGGAAAACACGTGGATTTTATTGTGCGCTTCCCAATCCCTTGTTCAGTGCTAAGCACAGCTCAGACAACCCTAGGAATATGGCCCTCTGTTTTCTGCAGATTACACTAAATATCTAGCTGTTAGCAAAGGTGCAGAGTTGAGAAATTACGTTACTAAAAATGCCCATTGTTTGGAAGAGACTGAAAAGTCAACAAAACCAGAGAAAGTCCAGGAGCCCTCGAGTTTCCCAACCCTTCCATTTAAATTCTAAACCAGGAGCATCAGGAAAGCACCTTCCCCCCAGCTGCAAAACCTCAGGAATCAGCAACAAGTCCTCTGTCTGATAGCAGCTTTTTGGCATGATAAAATCAATCTTAGCCTCTCAACTTGGCTCCTGGGTCTCTCTTGGCTACATCCCTCCAAAATGCTGCTCAGTTTCTGGGAAGCTTTTAAAATTTAATGAGGAAAAATTCCTTTTAAGACATAGTTGCCATTCTTCCTTTACATCCACACAGATACTGGAGAATGGCTCAGCAGTGCTTATATAAGCAAACATCTTAATAATGAATAATTAAATATTGCTACTAAGTAATGAGTGTGCTTCTGGTTTATAACAACTGCCATCTGAGACTCTCAAAGTACTTTACACACATTAATTAATTAAGCTTCGCAATACTCCAGTGAAGTGGGAGAGTGTCATTGTCTCCAGACTTCAGTTTCCCTCATCTGTAGAATAGAGATGTTAAGAGGCTTACTTAAACTCGCACAGGTTGTCTGTGGCATGGCTGGGATATGACCACCTATCTTCTGTCGCAAAATGGCCCTTCGTCCCCTTTGGGTTTGGGCAGCAGCAGATGCATGTAACAATATCCTGATTTGAATCAGGGCTGATCATCAGCTGGTGTAATCACCCCTTCCACTGATACCAGCTGAACATCAGGCCCACTATGCTAATATTGCTTTCAGAATAAATGGCTCATTCCTTAAAAGATCGGTCAGCCTAGATAGGATGTGAGCATTTAGGACCAGATCCCCGAAGGATGTAGGCAACATTTAGAAACATGAATCCAAAATTGCAATCCTAAAAATCCAGCTGCTTCCTGACCCTGCAGGTGCGTAAAATCTATAGGTACATCTGTTTTTGACCTTAATGTTCTCCAGGACCCACAGCTTCACAAAACTGCAGCACCACTGACCGAGCTGAGCAGCTTGGTACCTAGCTCACACATGTTCATCTGAGATCCAGGCATCCTTTCACCATCAATGTGGTAGGCATCCTTAAAGCTGGCCTAAAGCACACCTGCAGGACAGGGCTCTGCGCAGATGTAGTGGCAGGCAGTCACTGCCTTCTTGTAGAAGATGGAGGGGAGAGTCCTGGATTCCAGTCCTTGCTCCAAGGACTGTTCAGTACAAATCACATGAGCTGTCCTCAGAGCAGGGCCCAGAGTGCTGCCCAGATCCTACCCCCCCAGGGCAGTGCCCATTCTCCCCCTTGCTCTCCATACGAACCAATGACTCTTGAAGCCTGGAGGCTGTTCCTTCCCTAGGACAGCAGGTAGCCTGGTAATTACGGCACTCTCCTCAAGCTGGGAAGGTAAGTGGTCTAACCACTAGGGCTGATGTGTAAAATGGGGCATTGTCCCAATGTCCCCAACATCTCCTGCCATACCTTAAAAGCATGGCCCCTGCTCCCTTTCTGAAAGCGAAGGTACAGACCCTTTCCTTCAGAGGAGTGTTCTGGGCCATGGATCCTGAGTGTGGCATTAAGGCACCTGTGCCCCAGATAGGAGCAAGATGTATGGCCCAGCCCTGTCCTCAGTGATAAGCTCTAGGTGCTCCCTGCTCTGCAGGCCACTCTGAATGGGATACCTCACACAGGGCCAAGTACTATATGGTGGCAACCATTGATCCTCCTGGATCATGGTGTATGCATGAGGGCCACCAAGACCTTCAATGCATATGCCAGGGCAGGATTTTTATTTGGAGGGGTGGAGGCTGCCAAGACCATCCATCATCCCTTTAGGCCACTGAGACAGAATCCAAAGACCAGACTGGGCCCAGATGTTTGGTGCCTCCACAGCTGTAGTTGTATAAGTGTCTGGGAATCGAACCCAGGTCTCCTGTGTGGTACCACTGAACCACAGGGGACTCGCAAGTACTATACATCAGGCATTTTAACACACTGTGGTGAAGTCCCCAAGTCCTTTTCTGCATCTAGCCCTTCAATATTGTGGTGATGGACTCTTAACAATGCACATAGTGAGGCAGAGAGTAGATATGCACTTTTCTACTGAGTGAACTGCATTTAAGTCTCTTAGTGCCAGTCAGAGAAAGCATTACCCCTACTTGTAATCTGATATAAAAGCTTTTGTCTAGAAATGTTGAAGGGAAAAGGAATGCAGAGCTAAACCTCAAGGGTGCAATGCTGAAACCCTCAGGCTCGTTAATCCTTGGGAGATCTAGCCCTGTGCCTGGAGTGGAATGAAAGTGCAGGAAGTTGTTAGTCCCCAGTATTTGGTGGAAGTGATCTCTCAAATAATAATCAATCTCTCTTTTTTATTCAGGTATTTTCCATTTGGAATAGTATTTCTAATTGCTGGCAAGATCTTAGAAATGGATGATCCCACAGCCATTGGGAAGAAGCTAGGCTTTTATGCCATTACAGTGGTTTGCGGTCTGGTGGTGCATGGACTGTTCATTCTGCCAATGATGTACTTCTTTATCACCAAGAAGAATCCGATTGTCTTCATCAGAGGGATTCTTCAAGCCTTGCTCATTGCCCTGGCCACATCATCCAGGTATATGGATAGATGGTACAAATATCTCTCGGGCCTTAATCCCACCAAGTTTTGCTTTCAGAACGGTGAGATCAAGCTTAACTAGAAGAACTGGCATTGTATTTATTTTTGAACACTGGCCTTATGACAAGTTGACAGGAGCATTTTTAAATGAAGAAGATCATGCCCACAACATTTAAAGATATGAAAAGAAGCCATTTGGAAATAATAAGACACACACAGTAAGTTTTAAAATAGTGGACAGTGAGAGGGCTTCTTAGAGGATTGGCAGAGAAATATCAAGGATTTTTGCTTTTAAAAATAGGCACTGCACTTCCCAAACACTGGTACAGGCAACCCCCGGCTTAATGCTGTTTTGCTTAGCACTATTTTGCTATAACGCTCATTTTAAATTGATACCTGATCCCACTTAGTGCTCAGTGAGTTTTGTTATAATGCTCGCGGTCACCATCTTGGATTGTTAAAAACACTTGTAGTCACCATCTTGGGTTGACAAATACTTTTGGTTTTGCTTAACGCTCGTTTTGCTTAACACTCATTTTTTTCAGGAACCAATTAAGAGCACTAAGCGGGGGTTGCCTGTATTTATGAAGGCTACAAAATTTGTTCTTATTTTCTTTCTGGCACTGCTGGTAGGGCCTGACAGGGTACGAGGACTTGCCACTCTGCCTTACCTGCTACACCAATCCTCGGAGGAAGCGTGCAGGTGTATTGCCCGTGGGAGATGGTGCACCACAGACTGGAATGGAGGGAGAGGGGCCTCTCAAACCCTGGCTTTTCTTGCTCCATCTCTCCCCCTTTAGGGGGTTTGTACACCGCATTCAGGACTGGTAACTCTAGCTGAACATAAATAAGTGCAGCAGAAATAAGAAAGGACTTCTACATGGTGACTGTAGACACAGAGACATTTCTGTTTGAGGGGAGGGTGAAAAGACTGAGCCTGTCATATAGGGAGAGGAGACAAGGAGGACAGCTACAGCAGTGAATCGTTCTGAAAAATTAAATCAAGCCCCTGAGGATCCTTCTGGGCCTTTCCCCCCTCCCCGTGCACACAGCGAGGGTTTTGTGGTGAGCCAGAAGCATAGTCAGAGCGTACTGAATTCTGTTGATCGTAGACTAGACTGGCAAAACAGGCCATTGGAGGCTGGCACACGTTAAAACAACCTGAGGGCTGCTCTAATTTGTGTTTGGTACATGGCCAGTGCCCCCTTTGCTGCTCTCAGCTGCACAGAGCCCACTCTGTGTGAATGGAAGGCTTTATGCCTCTTATTTTTAATTACATTAAAATATGGTGAATACTCAGCTCCAGAATAACTGAAAACCCTTATGTCCACTGATTGAACCACAGACATGAGAAATGCCAGGAAAATGGATTTCTTTGTCTAGTCTTGCATTTTTTAGTCCTACCGTCAGTTTGGGTATAGGAAAAGGGCAAGAGAAGGAAGAATTCTTTCCTTTCTATCCTTTTGATTGCACATTTTTGCTTTTGGAAATAATTTTAATTGGGCAAGGGGACTGATCTGGAAATCTCTGAATTCTTTGCCAGGTTTTTTGAAATTATGACCTTTTGATGCCCTTTTGCTAATATAAATCTATCTATAATATAGATATATATATTATATATAAATAATCTATAATATATATATTATACAAATATACACATAATATATTTAATAATATAATGGATGGGAGTTTACTAGCCCAGGATACGATTATTTCTGAACAAGGAATACTTTCCAGTTATTACTGTAATATTGAAAGTTCATTCCATTCTCTTTGATCTTATAATTTCTCTAATTTCTTCTTCTCTGATGAGCTGCTGCCCTCATCACTCCACATACATACATGAGAAAAAGTTTGCTCAACTTTTGACCCCTTGCATATGTGATCTTGGTCATTTCAATAGCTATTCCACCCTGCCCTTTAAAGAGGGCTCAGAGTCTTATATCCCATTAACAAGTGACCCCTTTAAAATGAATATATGCTCATATTTGGTAAGGTGGTAGGTGGTCAGGAGGGTGGCAGGAGGTTAGTATCTTAAACAGGCAGTTATAAGCATATAAAATATGAGGGCAACACTGAACAAAGTATAGATTTAAATACTCCCACTGTAATTAATAATGGCCATTAGCCAGACTACCAGACAGTGTCAGATAACTATACAGTTTTGTGTAAGCTAGGCCCTTTTCTACTAATTAGAGTTCAGGGAAATGTCCAGTTGGAAAATTAGTTCATATATAGGTAAGTAATTGTACAAGATCCCTGAACCATGATTAACTAAGGCCATTCCCTTTCACTATAATACACTTTAGGCGTATATATGTTTTACTAAATTAGCTCTTCCAGTATGATAATTACTGTCAAGCATCCTATTCTCCATTTTATTGATGGATAAATAAAGGCATGAGGATATTAAGTGACTTGTCAGGGTCCCCTGGAAAAATCTATAGAGCTGGGAATAGAACCTCAACCTTTTGATTGTCCATCTCTTGGCCTAACTAAACCACACTGTGTATAGTGTTCATCAGACAATTTCAAAGTAATTTCAGCTAAGACCATAAGAAGCTTTGTGGAGGAAATAACAAGTTAAACCAACTCTGTAACTTGAATATATTTGGAGAATGGAGGGCAGCAGTCAGAGCAGAAAGAATTGTTACTAAAATGGAGAGCAATAATGGCAACAGGAATGTATTCCGCTCATAGAGAGTCAACGACATTTAATAATTTGCCCCAAACTGAAATATAGTATAATACAAGCTCAGGAGCAACTACGTACTGGGTGTCTTTACATTCAAATAAGGTTCCAGTAATTATGGCTGTTTTTTCAAATACAAAAAACATACTTACCTTTGGAGATTGAGGTATGTTTACCATAGTCAAACCTGATGTTGACCTTGTACCCATAGATGTTAGTGCCAGGGAAGACCTTTCCAGTTCTCACCCAGCTCCTTGCCCTTATCCAACTAATATGTCTTCAGCCCTGTTTCTGAGCACCTCTATTGCTGGTGACTCAACATCCTCACTAGACTCTTGTTCCATTACATAATTCTCCTTATTCTTCAGATATTTGCTTAAATGTTTAACCTGAACTTTTCCTTCTTCAGGACCTTTTACTCCACATCATTTTACCTTTCCCATCTGTAGAAAGCTGTACATTCTTTTATTTTTAATTAACACTCTACAAAGGAAATCATGGTTTGTACCTGGGTAGGTCCCCTATTAGCCAAGTGTGCACTTATAAAAAAATCACTTTCCTCCTTTTTTATACTACTGGTTTCCTTTCATCACATGCTTGTTTTGCAACAGCACTTCATTCTGCATTACTGCTTTCTTAACAGGTGTGGTGGTTTTTTAAATCAAAGCAAGTCACTATGTCTTCGACGTATATTAGGTTTCATTTATTTATATGGACTCTCATCCTTTTTTTCCATCTTCCTATATCTATAATATTATTGAGTTATTCTTCACTTAAGAGGTACCTTCCCTGTAGTTTACAATCAAAGGCTTTAGGCTGCTCTTGCTACTTTTTAGAAGTAGGTGAGTTGTGATTCTACTCTCATAAGTCATGTGGCAAAAATCAGGCCTGATTTGTAGTAGCCAGACTACAGAGCCAAAGTCCAGATCCTCCATAGTATTTCCCATGTTTGGGGCTTGGACGTGAGCAAGCCACACTCCTGCTAAGCACTGTCAGACATAGACAGTTCTGTATGTAAGCTGCACCTAAAAGTTAGAAGCTTTTAGACACTTCCAGGCTTAGTCAACAGCTGAGTGGGGGATTTGAGTATCTAAATTTTGGACCAAGAAGCCCGACACAACAAGTAGGTACCAAACTTCTCTTGTGGCTCTACCCTGTGTGCATTGCCCCCTTGCACTAGCACTAGTAGATGTAGACTTTGCAAGTGCGATATACACCTTTTTTAAAAAGAACGATATGGCTGTTAATATTTTTCTTTTTGACTGGTGGTATCTTGTTTTGGGATAGCTGAACTTTTCACCTTGGCTTTCTCAAGAAGAATGGATACTGCGCATAACTGTGTGGTTGCCAAAAGAACATGCACGAATGATTGGTGTTGGACAGTAGACCTACTTCTTCTGACAGCCACCACATCTGTAGCTAGTTAAGTAATACTTGTCACAAGAGCATTACGTAACAGTAACAACATGGGCATTGGATTTTTAGCTCTTAAGAGGAGAAAAGAAGCCCGATTTAGGCACACTGATTTGTCCTTGCAGATGTTTCTGTGTCAGCTCACGCCTACATCTAATGACCGCTGGAAATTTGTGGTCCTGTATTAATACCAGCTAACCACCATCTGTGGAAACAATCCTTTAGCTAAAGGGCAAAGTAGCAAGAAGAAACAAGAGACCATGTATTGTAGGAACTGCAAGCCACTGAACAGGCAGTTGATGGCACTGAGTTTATTGAACTAGGCAAACTTTTAAGTAATAACCTGTAAGTGAAAAAGTGGCTGTATTCTCAGTTCCCCTCTAGTCTAGTCTCATTACTTCACATGCTAATGCCACCTTGCACATTTGTACTGAAAAGCAGCATGTACACAACAAAATCCTGCCCTGTTTGCACAGATATATTGGTGAGTAGAAAAGCTCAAGAGAAGTTTCTTTTATACTCCCAGGGAGCATCCCCATGAGCAGGAACATGCGTTTCTGTGGGGACAACTAGGAGTGGCACATATTTGTGCCACTGCTAGTTGTCCCCAAGGAACGTCTCTGCACATGCACTCTGGCATGCAACAAATTTTCCCAGGTGGGGAAGGGGAGGATGGAGGCTCCAGCAGCCTTACCTGGGACCTGGGGGCTGCAGCAATGGCGATCTGGGTGCATGGAGCCTGGCCAGCAGCCAGACTGTGGATTTGGCTGGCCAGGCTCTGGTTTTGAGCAGCACACACTGCTGCTATGTGCGCTGCACCACTCCCCGCCCCCCCCCGCGCCCGTTTTTGTTAGATGCTGGAAGTTCCTGGTATCTACTTTTGCCACCCTGCTGCATGAAGTGTGGTGAACTAATTCATGTGTGCCGTGTACATTTTGTGGCACTTCAAAAGCCTTTGAGGTGCTGCAAAACACACGTTCCCACTTGCAGGGATGCGGTCCCATTGTGCATCCATACAGGACTGTCACTGAATAGGCACTTGTTCTCCAGCACGGTTGGTAGGCTGACCCACTGACACTCCTAGTGGCATCCTACACATCTAAGACTATGTGCCTGGTGAGGCCAGGCTCTTAAGTCCAAGGCTGGGTCTGGTTTTGGCACCAGGCATTAGAGGAGGTATAGGCTGATCCATTTCAGAACAGCAATAATATAGTCTGAAGTGTGCCTAAGCTTGTGGCTTGTCCCCTCTTCTGCCTACCCTGTCCTGATCCATCTTATCTCATGTAGACAGCTTTGCTCAAGGAACATCTGTTTTGCTGCTATTATTAATCCCACCCACTTCACAACATCTTTCACAGGATTAGAGCTACAATTTGTTGTATAATTTGGAAGCTGACAGGGTTGCCAACCCAAGAAAAAGATATTATGGACAATCTGCTCACTTTTTACTGACAACCAAATGTATTTACTGATATATGTTTTTACTGACACATGTCTGACATAATGTAAATGTAACTCTTCTGTGAGGCCCTAGACAAGCGCTGGGTCCAAATTTAGGGATGCAGGTTGTAGTCGTGGGTGGCTTTCTTGTATAGGTACTGGCCTCTGGCTGCTTTACCGCTCCATCCAGGAAGAGCACAGACCATCTGCAAATGCTTCCATAGCCTGACGAAGGGTGTTTGTGCCCAAAAGCTTTCTAAGAAAAATTTTTCCAACTATCTGCGTTGGTCTAATAAAAGATATCAGATCCAGATTTAGGGGTTTAAACCCCTAAATCATAGGGAAAAAGTTTGCAGAATATCAATAAAAGAAAATGTCTTGAGTTAGCAGCTCTAGTTGACTTGCAGTAATGATTTTATACCATGCTATCCCCTATTTGCCCCAGAGGTATTGCAAGATATTTCAGCACCCAAGGCAGAGTTGGGCAGGGGGGATTATACTGACCAGTGGAGAGCAGGAGGAGGGACAGGGAAACGGGAAGCAGCATCTTACCTGCCCCTACCATCTGCGCTCAGGCGGAAGCTGTTATAGCTACTGCTGGAGCTTCATGAGCTTGGCTGAAAAAGACTCTGAGAGGGGGAAGGGACCCCTCTAAGTTGGTGCCCGGAGCTGGTGTCTCCTTCACCCCGCCCTAATTATGCTACTGCCTCTTAGCCCACCCCCAGCATTACCCCGCCAGCCCCACTCTCTCCTCATGTCCAAGCTTGCTTACAAGTTTCTTTCCAAGAGGGAGCTTCAGTCAGCTCCTAGTTGCTTAATTTTTAGGGCTGGAGGGGGTCTTTTTCATTGCATTTTATTTTGCGGAATTTACAGACAGGTGTTTTTAGCCTGTTTTTTTTATAGATAGCCCATAAATTCATGGGCATTTGGCAACCCTGAAAGCCCTTTGGCTTTGATTATGCTTTTCCTAGGGTTCATGGGGGGTGGATTTTTTTGATCATCTTTCTACAACCTCAGTGGATCAAAGACAACATCTTCTTAGTGGTACAGCCCACCAGCAGAAGAGCTTTCATTTTCCCTGACACTGTTTGTAAATAAAAACTAAGCATTTCCAAGGGCTTTTGCTGCTTATAAAACCTTGGGACCGTGGCTATTGTGCAGTATAAATTAAAGGCAGATTTAACTAAAGAGAGATGGGATCAGTTTGTTGACTTTTTGGAGTGAGCAATACTAGAGATAGACTTGAACAACAAGATAAACAGGCGAGGCTGAACAGCTGTAGGAAGGAGATTTTTATACTCCCTGCTCTGTTTCTTTGTGGTCCACACTATTTAGAGCTTGGCAAGACTGAAATTCTTGCTTGCATTAAACTCCTGCAGCTGTATAGCTCCCAAAAAAGAGGGGATAAAGTTAGATAATCAGTATTTGAATGTGTTGTGATTGCTTGTCAGTAAGTCAGTCCTGAGTGGAGAAAGGGCCTCGTCTTTTTACCAAGGAATTCAGGAAGGTCCATCTGAAGCATGTTAAGCAATTTAAGAATAACGTTTGATTTGTAGGATACATGTGTCAGGTTTTAATGTGAGGAGCATGTCATACAAGAGGAGATTCAAAGAGCCTGGCTGGATTAATCTAGAAAAGCGAAGACCTAGGGAAGAGAAAAATCTCTCTTCATAGTCACATCTGAGAGATTAAAAACCAGGGAGGGAGAAAGACAAGCTAAAGGATAATGTTGGCACAAAACCAGGTAAAAACTGACCTCAAATAATATAGACTGTGAATTAGAAATTTCCATGGTTAGAGCACTTCAGTGCTATCCTGTAGGTTTGGATTTGGTTCGAGTTCCTATGTGATTCTGGGCAAGTCGCACCAAACTTCTCACGTGTAAGCACATCTGCATGGGGTAAGGGAAGGCTGAATCATAATGCAAGTATGTAGAAGTGCCATATTCGTATTGCATGGGCCACTTTTCTTCTGGCAACCTTTTAACAACACTGTGTAATATAAACATAGTGGGTTAATGCTTTGTAGAGTGTTAACAACAGCCGGAGAATGTGGGCAATTCTTGGCCAGTCGGGCCCAGGAGCCACAACTTGCCTACTGCAGATGGAGGGGGAAGATTATTTCAGAGTGCTCAGTTCAAGGAGCATCCTGTCCTTACAACAGCAAACAAGACTTTTTGTTTAAGTGTGATGGCCTGTTACCTAAGCTGGCATTGCATTTGGGTTCAGGATGAATAATCAGCATGTGTTGGCCCACCCTCAGTTTGTGGTCAGAACTCCTAGGGGTGCTAGAGGGAGCAAGAGCCCTTCACTTGGATACGCGAGAAAAAACCTGTACATGCCCAAGATGAGGTTCTTGCATTTGAAGAACACTGGCCTCTTCAGCACGATTTCTCCTAGGAAGGAAATCGGATGTGTGTGGGGTGTTTCCTTTATGCCCCTGCTGGAGCCCTGATGACAGTATCTCACCTTTCCTTCCTTTACATCCTCCCTGCTTTGAAACTCTTTGTCAGGGTCGGCTTTCTGCCCGCAGAGGCTGGATGCAGTCTCATTTGGTACCACCAGTGCTTGCAAGAGACATTGTCCTGCCCCAACCCGCTAGCAGCTGAGCACACATTGCAGCATCTCCAAGCCTTACCTTCCATCTTGTAGAAGAGAAATTGAATTCAAGACTTTCATGATGCCGTAACGCAGAATCTGCGTGTCCACTCTCTCAAGTTTCTTTTGCTTGTTAAAAATAACTGGCCTCATCCCCCTTCACAGTGAAGCCAGTGAGACATCTGCCATGAACTTCAACCAGAGGCCCACTTGGGATTGCAACAGGCACAGAAGTAAAAGCAGAACTAGTGCTTAAACAGTGTTAAATATGACCTGCACAGGAAAAAAACCATGCGTTTAATGCTTATAATTTTATTCCCCATGGGTAAAACAAATGTGCTTCTCTGTGATATTTTGCAGCTCAGCCACATTGCCTATAACTTTCAAGTGCTTGCTGGAGAATAACCATGTGGACAGGAGGATTGCCAGATTCGTGCTGCCTGTGGGGGCCACGATCAACATGGATGGGACCGCGCTGTACGAAGCGGTGGCAGCCATCTTTATTGCTCAAGTAAACAACTATGAGCTAGACTTTGGACAGATTATTACTATAAGGTATCAAACTAAAATCTCCCTGCCTTTCAGTTTGTTGGACTCACTAAGTGTGTAATGCTCTCTCGTAACTCATGTGCTAACCACACTGCAGCATCTGCAGCGTTCAGGCCCGAACTCCTTCAAACTGTGATCACATAGGGCAAAATAAAGGACCCATTCGTCCTCATCACAGGTGGGGAACACAAAGATCGGAGCCTAGCCTAAGAGGCACAATTCCAATAAGGCCATGTGTTTCAGTGCACGAGGGTGGCTTTTTCATTGCTTACTTGTAGTCCCCTCATCGCTCATTTAAATAGGATTAGAACTTGGTTTCTATCAGTGTGTAGGTACAATTGTCCCTGAATCCTATCAAAAGGGAAGCCCTCCCAAGCTTTATGCTGTGAGGGCTGAGCTTCCAGTGCACAGGGTAGGGGAAGCACCCAAGAACCACCTTCCTCCAGGGGTGAGAGCCTCAATCTCTGTCCTGCTTTCCATGCCATTTAAAAGAGCCAGAGAGACATAAGAGAGCCATGAAGTTCTGTATCAGACAAGGGGAGGATTTGCCCTGCATTAAAACTGAAAAACAACTACCTGTAAAAAAAAAAAAAGCCCTGAAATACATGCTGGAAGGACCTGTCCAACCAGGCAGGGTGGAGATTCTGGTCTGCCTGGTCCATGAGGCAGCCTCAGCAGTCAAGTGCAGTGCTGCCCTTTGAGCCTATGAGCACTGCTGAGTTGCCCACTTGCTCCCATTCAGCATGCAGCAAAGCCTAATGATCAGGCAGTGCAGCCAGTTTAGCATGGGCCAGAGCAAGTGCACAAAGCTGTTCTCATGCCTTCTCTCTGGTGTGCTACTCAGTGTGTAATAAGGGTCATGCTAAACTCCCTACTTTCTAGGCTTTGGCACAAACAAGTAAAAAGGAACTGCTTCTCTGCTGTGTTCCCAGGCTTTCCATGAGACAGTGTAGATCTGCCCAAGGAGGCTGCTATCAGGCCTCTCTCACCCTCCACAGTGGTCCAAGATCTGAAGGGCACAAAGCCAGGACCCCTGCTAAGCCTCCGAGGTGCAAGCGTTATGTACAACCATTATGTAACCCAGTTTTAAAGATGACTCCCATGCTGCTGATTGTACAATTAAGTTTCAATCTTCTGCTGGTCAAGAGAGGACCAACTATATAGGAACTATAGATAATATATATATATTTTAATATTTTCTCCTTGAAAATCCTGTAACTGCCCAAAAGAGAGAGGAATTATTGCCAAGATATTTTCACCGTCTGCCAAGGACTGCCTCGGGGAGATCAACCTGCAGCTTTCAAGCCAGGAACAAATGATTAGAAAAACATTCCTGTAGTGCATAAGGCTCTGACCACAACAGAGATCTGCTTACCCACATCCCGCTGACCTCACCACTCTCCTATCTGCACTTTTGTAATCTGCTCGTTGTCAACCCAAGAAAAAAGGCCCGATGGTCGCATGCGCTCGCTGAGACTGTGCACTGCATCTCTGAGACTTGGACCAGAACTTAGCCTAGGAGCTGGGGCTGTAGGCCACCCTGGTCATGGAGAGGCCCTAGGGTTACCTAGCTGAGAGGAGCCTCTTTGGGCAGATCTAATCTGCCTCCATAGGAAGCCTGGGAGCACCACCACGGGAGCGTGGCACAGTCAAGGCCTTAATGGCAAGAGCAGCGTACTGAAAATAATTGCACACCATGGCTGAGGTGTGCTTGCGAGTATATGGCAGTTTGGTCAAACTAAAAAAATGATATGGGGTGGAGGAAATCAATCTTACCCACACCATTTGGTTTCTCGTGTTCTCACCTCTTTAGTTTGCGTTCAAACCACCACGTGAAAGAGCAGGCTTTGCAATTTCACAGGTGCCATTTGAGAAGCTGGACCAGAACAAGGGCCAATGCGTGTGGCACGTTACAAAAGTCATCCAGGTGGGGAAGGGAGGTGAAAAGGGTGATTTGAAAAAGCAGAGGGCAAGAAGCATGCTGAGAGTTGGAAAGAATGTAGTTTTGTAAACTCCTCCGAGGAGAATTAGGTTTTCCTCTGCGCCTTGTAGAGTGCTATTCATAATGCTCATACTAAGAAGGAATTATGCGTAAAAATAGAGCAGGAGACATAGGCAAATTAAAATAACTGCAGGAAGGAAGAGGGAGCGAAGGGTAGAATGGCTCGCAATAAAAGGCAAGATAGGGAGAAATGGATAGTTAGTAGGGTTGAGCTCCACACCAAACCTAGGCTCAAATTCCATCTCTGAATCCAAACATCACCTGTATATAGCAACCCACCCCAGATCTAGCTATTTCTGTACTTGAAGATTTAAAATCTGGATCCAAAAACAAATGTTTCCAAGTTCTGGATGCTTTATTTTTTATTTTATTTTTTAAATTTGACTCCCTGTTATGAAAATAGAGTTGAACTGCAAACCTGGCTCCAGATCTGGTGCCAAGACCCTGACAACAGCAGGATGGTGAGCCAGAGACCTTCTCCTTTTCTTGGCAGTTTCCATTGAAAATATAATTATATCAACAGCAAAGATCCACATTAAGGCCATTTCTGAGTGGCTGAATTTATGAAGTTGGTCTGAAACAACATATGAGCAGCAGCAGTTTTCCCTTACCTCACTAATTCATTAAGAGGCTACCTGGTCCCAATTAAGTCATTAGGAGTGATTTTCCATTGACTTAAAGGAAGCAGCAGTAATCCTGGAGGACAGAAAGGACAGAGCGCAGTAACTAACATATAATTATTGTCGAAATAAATTTCTCTTTCACACATCAAAATAACACTCCTTTCTATCGAGGCTGTGCTGGCACTATGCTATCCAAATGCCACAAAAGCTTTGGGTTTTTCATAAAAACTGATTAATATTAATTTTTTCTCTCATAAGCAATTAATATATTTATTGTGTGAAAGCTAAGAACCATGGATTTTGTGCAGAGCTATGAGCTATGAGAAAGATACTTAATTGGAAAAAGGAGATAATGCCACCCAACCATTCAACAGATTTATTAACGATCTATAAAGAAGAGGGAAAGCACCTTTTCTCTCTTGCCACAAAGAGGAGGACACGGACCAATGACCTGAAGTTGTAGCAAAGTAAATTTAGATTGGATATCAGGAAAAATGTCTTCACTGTGAGTATAGTGAGGCAGTGGAAGAGACGCCTAGGGAAGTTGTGGACTCTCCATCGTTGGAGGTGTTCAAGAAGAGGTTGGACAGTCACTGGCCGGGGATGATGTAGGCATAGCTATGCCTATTTTCTACCATGGGTATGAAACCATTTGTTGGTTGCTCCCGCCCCCTGCTCCCCACCTCCCACCCCCCATTTTTTTCTGCTATATGTTTCAGGGTGTTATTAAGCCTCCCCAGAGGCATTTGTGTTGGCTACAGCTAAGGCTGACGATTGCCAATTCTCCTGCTAGATGCAAAGCCAGAGGTTCCTGGCTAGAGGGTCTTGTCCAGATAGTGCATAAATGCAAATGAAGGTCACTATTATTCCTTTAGTAAGTCACCCACTTTATGTCTTAATATGCTTACATTTTGCCTTTTAACTGGGCGATCTAACATCTTTCCCGAGAGTTGGCCGTTTCCAAGAGCAGTGCTAGTCCTGATTTCCTATTCCTGGAAGCTTAGAAGGATGGAGTCGCGGTCATGCTTGCTCATAGTTTGACCCAAATATGTGAAACGCAGGGTTTCTCCTCCCTCCTTTTCCAGTTGTTTCTGCCAGCTAGAAGGCCTGGAGTGACAAAGAGGGATCTAAAAGCCACAAAGGCAGTCAAGAAAGATGCATGTGGCACACGAACTGCTAATGCCAATATAAAGTACCTTTGAAGAACCTCCTTGCTGGGTATTATCTTAACAGGGCCTTAGGTTGTTCAAATAGTTATAGTTGGGGCTACAAAGCAGCTTAGCATTTGGAGGGCACAAGCTGGCCATAACCACCACAGCTACATCCTCCCTTTGTGCTGTAAAGTCTATGCTGCTCTCTGAGAAGCACAGGGCAGAATTTCATTCCTTGAACTCCCACACCTGGCTGCAGAAATACAGATGAAAATATAGCCCCGAGCAAATATTGTCCTGTTTTCTAATCACAGTCCTCTAAGATTCTTATTGCAAAGACTTCAGTTAAGTAATTTCTTAAGTAATGTCAATCATGAAGTTATACAGAAATGCATTGTTACTGTGTGTTATTTCTGGTCAAGATCCAGTGCTGTTAAATCTTATTGTTCCTTTCCTTGTTTGCTGAAGTATCACAGCAACAGCTGCCAGTATAGGTGCTGCAGGGATCCCACAAGCTGGCCTCGTGACCATGGTCATTGTTCTGACATCAGTTGGGCTGCCTACAGATGACATCACCCTAATTATTGCAGTTGACTGGGCACTGTAAGTAATACAAAGGTCTTGAGCCTTCAAATGCAGTGATGGTGCAAAAAAGGCAAATCTCATTCTGGAAGGTATTTACAGGAATGTCGCATGTTAGACGTGAGAAATTATTATTTTACTCTATCCAGCACAGATGAGACCTTAGCTGGGGTCCCATATCCAGTTTAGGGCAGCAGACCTTAAGAAAGTTGGAAAAAGTCCTGGAGAGAGCAAGAGGAATAAGAGGAAATAGAAATGAAAATCTTAAAGGAATTGGCTTTGTTGTAGAAAATGGAAGCTGAGGTGGGTTATGATAAGTCTTCCAATATACACAGGACTGTTTTCAAGAGGACAGTGATCACGAAGGGAAAGGACAAGAAGAAATCAACTTATTTTTTAGCAGTAATAAGTTAGGGGAAACACTCTAAATATCTAACAATTATAAGACTAGTTGAGCATTGTGACAGGTAAGAGAGGGAGGCAGGAGAGATTATTAGGAACGAGTTAGGTACTAACATTTGGCAGGATTTTCTAGGTACACTGATTCTGCCTCAGAGCGGAAGGATGGACAAAACGATCTCTTGAAATGCTTTCCAACCCTGCCTTTCTGTGATTTTACCTACGTATCAGCTGTTTATCAATCCATTGACACCTCAGGCTCTCTCACTGTTGGCACTGGGAACTGCACAACAACAGCACTCAGACTAAAGGGGGTTCTCCATTACCAGTCATCTATACATGCAGAGCTGGCGAATTAATTCACAAAATCCATTCACTTTGGCCATAAGCAGTTTTGAAAAATCAGCAATGCAAATTGCAAATTTGGGGCCCCTAGGTAATGAGAGGTCCCTTTGCCCGACTCAGAAGCTGCACAGACCAGCCAAGCCAGGTTCAGCATGTTGTCAGTGGCTTGGCATTTTGTAAACTATGGCTGTTCCTATTTGTGTTCAGACATGGCAACATTTTATAATTCCCTGAGGCAAGGCCATACTCGAGCAGATTGGCTTATACCTAGGAGGCAGCAGTAGTGTACACATAGACAAGTTCATATGTCTTATTCTAAGCGAGTCCTCCAATTTCTTCATTAGTCTTTTAACACAGCCAAGTTGTATTGCATTACAATGTACTGTTTTATATCCAGCCTCAAATCACTCAGTGTACTCTAAAATTACTATACAAAAGTTGGACTTGTATCCTTTTCTTGTTTCTAAATGATGATTAGAAAGGCTGAAGGTCTATATATTTCTAAAAGAAGTAAAAATCCTGGTTATTTACATGGCTTTGTATACTGTACCTTAAACAGCAGGA